AAATTAACAACGTCTGCACAGTATTGACCATGTATGTACATAAATCTCAGTGCACCTACACATTCAGGTTCTCAGCTAGAATAAACAATTCAGATATTTACATGGTCTTTCCCCTTCTCTGCTCCTGCCCATTAGCATTTATTAAAAAATCCTATGTACTGGGTAAACAAAGCATGTATCAGAATGTGATTTAATCCATAAAAAGCAACATCTTACAAGTGTGATCTTTGCAGTTTTATTATTTTCAGCTTTTGAACAAAAGGCTTAAAGTAGTAGTATGTGCCTTTAACCTCAATGGTCCCAGAAGTTTAAATCTGAATTTAGCCCCAATTAATGGAAACAAAGTCTCATTTTCACAAGAAAAACTCAAAGCTGAGATGAACAGAATCACTAGCCAGTTGTATTGTGTACACACGAAAATGCATATTTAAACCTCTACAAGCCTAAACTACCACGTACCACTACAGAACTGCTTTTCTCAACATGCACCATGCTAAACACGATCAGACTCCAAATACCGTCAGAGAGAAGACCTATATGTACTTTTAAAGCGCAGAACAAACATTTTAAGATTGCAAAACCTAAGGTTTTGACAATCCAGGTTTTATTTTTCCTCAGTTTCTAAGAAATTCTACTACATTTCTATTATAATTTGAACCTTACCTTACTGAATCCATTGCCCTCAGATTTGTAACATGTAGTTTCTTTATATTGTAAGTAGTCACTAAACACAGAACACAAACTGCTTAGATTCATGTAAAACCCTATCAATGATTGACTATCCACAAACAGATCCTTTGGACTGCACCATTCCAATACATTTCTTAGGAGGCCTTCAATAAAAAGTAGATAGTTTTGCTAACTTAAGAGGTTAAAACCATATAATTTGTTTTCAGGAAGTTTAAGTTTCCTTGTGTCACTTCTCCTTTAGGTTCTTACACTATAGCCTGAACTGTTTAATTCACCTATATCCCCATCTTCACGTGTAGGCCAGTTTCTCTCCCACACAGACAAGGAAATCTGAATTTAAAGATATCACCTGCGGCAATTTGTCTAGTGAGCAGAAACAAGTATGGCTTCCTGGGTTCAGAGTTCAATTCTTTACTTCCAAAGAGCAGTTATAGTTTAAAAAAAAAAAAGTAAGCAGATTCAAATAGTTGTGACACAATACACAGCAGCTTCCAAGATAGGTGCATCAACTCTCTCCTTGAAAAAGTATAATCCTGATGTGAAAAATCAGGCTTGGGGTGACCTGTTTGAAGAAAGATAAGCAACAGGACTCCTTATCGCCTATTGAGTGTGTCATAACCAATAATGGAGTTCTAGTGAAATGTATAAAAGCTTCACTACAGCTAAAATAAAAATGGCCTGTTTTCAAGAGACAAGGAGAAATACTCCAATCCAATCTGTAAAAACAAGACACGAGGGGGATAAGATTACTCCATTTATGGAAAGTTTTGAAAGCTGTCTGAAAACTGCTAAATTAATTTATTCAGACTTTAAATGCCCATGTCTTTACCGCAAGTGCTGTTTTATGGAATTAAATAAAAAGCATGTTCTTAAAATGTCAACTTTACTGTAACAGAGGGTCTGGACCTCTGACCATAATTCACTGTTCATGAGATAAACTGCTTAGAGAAAGGTTTACCAAAAGGCCTGACTAAAACCAGATAATTGGACAACTAGAGGTTTGAGGTGCTACTGATCACCATTTAAACATCTTTGTATCAAGGCTCATTGGGGGCTTTTCTGGACAAGCCCCCAATGAGCAGAGAAGGATAAAACTAGACTGTTCAGGAGTCACAAGTCTGCATCCTTTCATATAGGTTTAAAAGCCAGCATTAGTATATCACAAACCAAGGAACAGATTAGGTGAAAGCATCAGGACTTGAGACTCCCTCTTTAAACTATATCCCAGAATCTCATGGGCTCCAGCATCAGTTGTCAGTACAATTCTAGAAACAATGTTTAATGATTTCTATAAAGCTAGAAAAGGTAACAAATAATGTTTTAGAGGTTCTGAAAACGCAGATGTTTTTTTAAAATCTCAGATTAAGAATATTTAAAATGCACATTCTTTTCCTTGCAGCTAGCAGTTTTAAATTGAGTCAAATATTGGTCCAGGAAAAACTTTTAATGGGCTCTCTGCTATAATTTTAATAAGTCTATTTTAGTTTTCATTTTACAATTTCAAGAGCAAAATATGAAAGTCACATTTCCCCCACTCACCTGTTCTGTTCCTCTAGTTTAGCCAATAATTCTAAATCATCTGGACTCAACCGTGTTGGTGAGGATGGTGATAGTGCTGGAGTAGAAAGAGTGGTAGAGGAGGATGTAGTGTGTAATGAGGCAGATGGACTTGCCACCTGACTGGCCATTTGACTGACAGTATGCGATACAGTGTTCTTCACCCATGAGAGAGTAGAACTCAGCTTTCCTGCAACCTTGTCTGTCGCCACCTGCAAATTACAAAAGGAAAAGGGATAGCAGAGGTTATTTTTGTAGACTTTGATCAGCAGGCCCACTCAAACCAGTGGAAAAAGTATTTAGTGGGATAGCTATATTCTACACATAAACTGAAGTGTTTGTCATGTATTTAGCACCTTCTAAAGAGTGTGACTTAAGGTTATCCTGTTTCCCAGAATTCCCAAAGAGGTTGAAAGCAGCCCAAGAGAAAGGTATGGGATTATGTTAAGATGCTATGTGAGAACAAATATATACAGTATGCGGCAGATTCACCAAAAGGATATCAAGGAAACTACCCAAAGATACCCACAGGGTTAGTCTTTTCTGTGTAGTGCCTCTGGATCCAGAACCACCTTGTACCTCTGACACATAAGTAGTGAGATCCTCTCAAAATCTCTTGATGAAAATAGTAGTGCCGAAATCAAGTAAAGCAGGTAAAATGCCTCTGACAATAACTTTACCTGAGGACTGACATGCACAGGAAGGAATTTATGAGCAAGTACCACAGATGTTAATTTTTCTCTTGCTCTCAGTACCCTCTCCAATCTCAGAGGGACTGGCTGGAAGTTTGGCTAAAAGTCAACAAGAACCACAGCTAAAAATCAAAGATAAAATGATCCTGAGATCTCTAACAGTGGGGAACGAAATATTCATTTTGAAATAAAACCTAGATTCTAGAATACAACACAACTCTACTCTCACAAGTGGGTTAGGGAAGGACTACTTGGGAAAACCCTGAGCTAGACTTCTCAGAAAAAAGCAAAGGAGACTTATCCAAAACAATCAGAGGCCTAGTCCAAGAACTTCCTTGAAGCTCTACCACTGAAGGAATGCAAGAGGCTTATACTATTTTCTGCAGTGGACCACTTCCTCGGCCACAGACTATCTAGACTACCGGCAAGCCTAACCCTTATCCAAGTTGTCCACCAGAAGAAAACTTGGGCCACATCTGAAAATGCAGAACAAAGATGGCTGACACAAGTCAAGGTCTGTCAAGGAGAATAGTAGACTGAAGAAGAAATTTTCCTTGAAGTCACACTGCCGACTACTTGTTCTAATTCTACATATGCCTATTTTGGCATATGTAGAATTCCTCACGTTGACATGAACAAATCATGTGAAATACAGCTTACCCAATAATACCAGGTTATAGCAAACACATCAAACAATTAGAACCACAAGGAAAATTTCCATCCCACTCACTGAGATCTTTCATTCAAGTGTAATTTAAACAGACAACTTCTATTTCATCTGTTGGATGACAAACAGCCACATGTTTTAAGGCAGGCTTCAGATTTTCAGGTTTAGCAGTAGCTGATAGGCAGCCCTTCCTCAGAGGCTGGGGATGCTGGACTGGGAAATTGTACAATTCCATAAACCATGTTTCTTTTGCTAAGTACCACATTTCAAATCAATATACATTGAGATGTGCAGTGGGGAAGTTTTACAATTTGAAAAAAGCCTGATCGAAAGCAAAGATTGCTTCCAAAGTGAATTAAGCTAAACCAAATTAAGGCTACTTTAATTCTGAATGACAGCATCCACACAGGGATTTAATGCAATTTAAACTAATCCACTTTGAATTCACACCTTTACGTTAATGCTGATAAATTTTCCTGAGTGTCTCGATGTAGACAAGCCCTCTTGTCTACACAGGCATTGTAATTCTGTGCATTCGTGTGCTCAAAGCCACATCATTTGCAATTTAACTGTTGTACACTGCTTAGCACGTTCAGTGTTTAATAAAATAAAGTTAAGTAACCTTGCGTTTGTTCTACCATCTTTCCGCCTCTTCCCTGTAATGGATCATTGTGTCTTTGCCCACACGGTTGTCAGTGTTTCCTCTTTTCCTTTCTTCCCTACTTCCTTATATTACTCATCTACACTGTGTTCCCTGACTCCCAAGAGATCTCATTTGCACCACACTTCCGTTTGCTAACTTTTCCTATCAGTCTTTCCTTTGTTCCCTAAACCACTTCAATACTGGACTAGATATTCAGAAGCCATAGGACTAAACCTATTAAGTAAAGAGTGATCCAGAAGATTGGGTCCTCCAACAATTAGGAGCAACATCTGGTGAAAAACAAACCTCTGCTCCAGTTACGGGAAAGGTGAGGGGTAAAAATTCTTACAAGGGAATCCCCATCTCCCCCACCTCTCAATGTAGAGCCTTTTAGCAGCTCTGCTACACAACACCATACCCAAGGTCTTTTGATTCTTAGGCTCAATTTTGCTGCTGGGGAAAAAGCGGAGTGAAATTGACTTGGTTGTTAGTTTCAATGATTACTGCCCATAAGGTCCTAGCAGCAGCTGGGAAAATTGACAAGACTGGTAAATTCTCACTTTGTTGCAGCTTGGTAAAGCTGAGCAGCAGAGGCACTAGCAGTTTGTCTTCAGGCTCTGGAAGGCAACACTGCATTGGCTACACTCTTATAATTGAGCCATAAGGGATATAAATGTATTTAATGAAAACTTCTACTATGCAGATGCTGATGGAACTTGACTGGGAAAGATTTTACTTGCCCTTTTCTTAGGTGTAAAGGCTGGTTAGAGCAGAGGACTTGGGAAGGGAAGCCCAACCTAACACCTATGCTTCAAGCATGGAGATATCCTTTACCAGAGAAGCATCCACCTCCATCAAAAGATGACTAGAAGAAAGTCCTTCAGTCTCATCTTTGGATCCTGAGGCAAGCAGGGAGACAGACCAGTACTGCAGTCACATTGACTAGTAAGTTCACCCGGAGTTTTTGTATGCAAGACTCTTCCTTCCCGCTGATACTGTGGCCTCCAAATCCATTTCATGGACCTCCAAAGGTCATTTCAGGAGACAATGAGGGTAATAAAGATTCAATGGGGATGTTACTGTCTCACTGCAGTCACTGAGCTGCAAAAGCAAGCAAGCTAGCAAGGCTCCACTGTGCCAAATGCTTATCTCAGCTGGTAACTGTTGCCTATAAATGTAAGTTACAACCATTCCAAGTTGGTAGAGCTCCACCTCAGAACTTTAAATTTAACGTTATTTTTCTACATTTATCTCCCACCTGTAAGACCCAAGATTTCTAAAATTATTTATCAGAAGATTGACCCTATAATTCTTTAACTTGCTTTCTGATAACAAAGGGAAGGATCAACTTGTAGTTAAAAACAGGAAAAAGTCTGGAGTAGGTTCTATACTTGAAGTGTGACCGTGGGCAAGTTATTTAATCTTGGCGTTTCAATTTCCCCATTTTTACCGACATGCATTACATTAGATATGTACTTTGGAATATCAAATTGGAGGCTTTATACAAATGCAAAGTATATTTGCAGTTATGCAATAAATATAAACAAGTTAAGCATCTGAATTTTCACATAGCAGAACACACATACAGCCAGTCTTACAGTGTTTCTCAAGTGTGGCCACCAGGGGCTTTTCTTGCAGCCACAGTCTCCCTGCCCCCTCTGGAAAGACAAATGCTGGAGGTGCAGGCAGCTGGTGAATTCTCCACTTTCCTGGGGGCGGGGCAGGCAGGCTTCAGCCACAGGACTTCGGGCTCCATCCACGCGGTAGCAGGCTCTTGTCCCAGGCTCACCACCCACGTCATTATCCCTGGGCCCTGCGACCTCCCTGCCCACCTCTCCATCCAGGGCTTAATTTGTCCAAGGGCTTGCTGGGGCTGAGTAAGTCTGCTGTGAAAAGTGATATTAACAAACATACAAATAGCACTTTTCACAGCAGCAGACTTACTATCTAGCAAGTTTAAAAAAAAAAAAACCACCACCACCAAAAGACAACAACAGACAAGAACATGCAAAGCACTTTGTGTTTCTATTCTGTTTAGATCCAGTAAAGAATAGAGATCACTGTACATTTTTATTATTGAGTCTGAAAAAACCCTATATAAATAAATTACAATGATTTGGACATGTATATATGAATATTTATTTGTTTTTCCTAAAATTAAGTGTTCTAGGGAAAATTGTCAGCGCAGCCACCAGCAAGAGTTCGTGGCCACACTCTGAGGCCACCAAAAAAAATTGAGAACCCTAGAACACCAGTATAATTATCTTCGTATTTAGAGTAATTTTAAACATTTATGCCAAGTTTAGTATCTATAAACTTACCTCAAACCAATTTATTTAAGTCAGAAAAGTCCATTATAGCCATGAAAAGAAATTTATTTTCAAAAAGCAATGTAGTAACACTATGGAGTCCACCCACAAAAGCAAAGCTGGCCACATTTCGGTGTGGCTCTAGGCGCTCAAAAAAGTTTCCCTACAGAAAAAAAGTGATTCAAGCTTTAATATTGCAGTCCTAGTCAGGACAATGTCAGATCATTACAAATTTCTAAGATTAACAGAGCCAAAACATCTTATGCTGTTCTTGTTATTTTAAGCCGTGTTACCTAATGAGAAAATTGTGCTAACAAGTTATTTCAATAACCATCCTTAAATATCATTGAAGAGCTCCACTTTTCCTTAATCAGGAAAAGCCAACTGAATTAGTTAGGAACCCCACCATAATTCTTTAACCAACCCAATGCTCCCTGTTAAAAACTTGAGTGCATTCAAGTTTATTGGGATTTCAGTTAACTTAGTTCTAAAAGCCAATGAGTTTAGTTTAAAAATATGTTTGAATCATCTATATTGTTCCAGGCAATGGTTACCATTAGGGGTCCACACAGGACTTGTCAGTCAGTCACATGGTGATGATGAATCATTAACAGCTGCAAATACAATATTCCATATAAGTGATTCCTCTAATGATCACAGCAGTGCGAAGCTATCATGAATGAAAGGGTAGATGATTCATGAGATGTGGTCCACATAACGAAAAAGTTTGGGAACCCCAATTGGTAATTCCATGTGGAGCCATTCCCTACTGAAGTTCCTCAAATCCAGCCCCACTCAAGTCAGTTGTTACTATCAGACTACAGTTAAGTAGCCTACGTGGAATAAACCAGCATTTTCAGTACAGTCTGAACCATCCACATTAAAAAAGCTGCAGTCATAACTGACACAAATTAGCACCTTAGCCTCAAGAAAGGTCAAAATTGCAAGGTAGAGTGTCTGAGTCAACCTACTTCCCACCCCAAAGGTGCATCATCCAAGCAAACAGTACAGCACGCTGACAGGACACTATGGAGAAGCCTATTCTGACAATGTCTGTATTGTATCTCTTCTGTGGATGTGACTTCATTCTCCAAAGATGTCAGCCCCACATCTATAATAAAGGTTAAATTCTATTTTAAAAGTGTAAGTAGTAATTGTTTAAACAAAGGCTTGATAGTACTAGTCACTAATTCTGAATTGCTTTTGCACACAAACATAAAATTCAATGTTCATTCACTGCCTTTAATTCTACCAAAATGTAAAGATATACAAGTTACTTACAGTTAAACTGAGGGGGGAAAAGTTGCTAAAGTAAAATGCAAAGCTGCCTTGCCATCTTCCTCTTTCAATTAGACTTCAAACTGCAAGAAAAGCAAATTACAATTTCTTCTGAACTACAACGTTACTATTCAGTGATCAAGTAAATTCAGTGCTTTCACAGCAAGTTAAAGTGCATGTCTAAAAATTCCAAAGTTATTTCGTGTCAGCCTCAAACCTTTTACTTGCTTTGCAAGTCAAACATTACATTAAAAGCTTTGAGATTTCAGCCACAGGAATCCTGTCTAGCCCAAAAACACAAAATCAAGTCAATATGCTAGAACTTATGAACTTCATTTTGTTGTCAGTTGGGCTAGCATTAAACGGAATCTTGCATGTAAACAGTGGTCTACTAAATGAGCATATTTCATTGCAAAAGTTCACTAGTTGCAGAAATTGCTGAACTCAAGAGTACAGTCTAGTGGTTAGAGAACTGAACTGGAAAACTGAAGACCTGCGTTCAATGCTCAACTTTTGACTGCAGCTTTGGACAAGTCACTTAACTTTGCTGTACCTCAGTTTATCCTCATTTTACAGATGGCTAATGTTTACCCAGCTTTTGTAAGACAGAGATCCTGATATGAAAGGTGAAGAGCAACAAAACTCTTACAGAACACACAAAACTAGGCAAACGAGTTTATGAAAACAGCATAATGCAGCCCATGATTTCTCCAGATTACCCTTTTTACCATCTTCCCATGCATTCTGCAGCAATTAAACACTTAGTATCTTAAGGCTCACAAGTATAAATAAATGGTATCATTCCAGCAATTGATTTTTATTAATTTACAGTGTCTACTAACAGGACTTGCAAAGAACATTACTAGCAAAATATACAAATTAGAAAACATTGATGCTCAAAGTAGTTTAGAATTGGCAGCATAGAATTAAAATTTTATTTTAATTCCAGATTCATTTTCACAAGGATATTATTGTACTTATCTACATCAATTAAATCAAAAATAGCTTTATCTATATGGACCCTAGAGGCTCCACCTAGTGAAGCAGAGTTAAACTGCATTCTGTTAATGCTTTATTACTTGAATCAACACCAGACACAAATAGTAGTTGAATTCATTCTCTGAACTTTAAAACTGGACCCTCTTGTAGGGCTTTGTCAGCACTAATTTTAGGTCCATATTTAGGCTTACAAAATCAAAATAGCTAATGGAATTGTAAGAATCTTCTGCACTATTATCAGGTTTCCATTTTCCCTTTTCTTCTGTGCTTTTATGTATTTATCTCATGTAATAGCCTATAAATGGAAACATATTCAAGGAAGGTTTTTACTGCTTACTGTTTTGCCATTTCACCTCACTGAAAACTCATTAAAGATCATATGTAAGAAAAGCATTTAATAACAAAACCAAGGCCTTATATATAGCTTTTAATATCTGTAGCAAAACATGAGAACAAGAACGATAGCATGGATGTGAACTTAAAATATTGCTTTCCCCTATGGAAGAAACAAACTAGTCAGCCCTGGAGTCATGGAAAAATGGTTTCAAGTGATATTTTGGAGATCTTAGCCCAGTATGGAAATGGGTATCTGTCACAACCCATATCACACTGCCGAAGCTGTGCTTACTACTCAAGGCTTAGAAATCACGCAGAAGGAACAGGCAGCATGTAAAAGAGCATGCTAAGTGCTTGCCAGATAATGGCTAGCTCACATAGTGAGGTGACTTTTCATTCAGTAAATGTAACATGATCATCAACAAGAAATGAGATTAAAAAAGAGAAAAATCAACAAATATTCTTTTGTGGCAGTAGGACGCCAAGAAAAGGCATATGCCTGGCATTTTTTTTTAAGTCCTAGAGAGGGTGAGTGGAACTGCCTCCCTAGTCTTTTTTAAGGAAAAATGGTCCGGAGGAGAAAAGTGGTTCCTTCATATATACCCTACTGTTGCCCCTCCAGGAAAACTCATTAATAGGTCTGTGGCCCATGTATGGTATGAGTGTATCCTGCAGTTTAATTTTATATTTTCCTTCAGTCATATTTCAAAGGCTATAGCCAATATATTATTCTCATCTTTTCTCTTCCTTCTTGCTTGTCCTTCTTTGGACCTGCCAGTCTGAGGTTATATCTCTGGATGGCAAAGGAGCCAAAATGGGAGTCCAATGTAGAGTGGATGCAGGAAACAAGAATTGCACACTCTTCAAGTAATCCATCTAGGTAGGTTCTTATGTTGGACCTTTTGCTATGTATCTGAGCATCTAAAGTTTGAGCTTACCCTCCATCTACTCCTGGGGGAATTCTGTGCCACTGTGCAGGTGCAGAATTCATGACTCCCACAGATTTCTTTGCTTCCCTGCAGAAAAGTGACTCTCTGACAGGGAAACAAAGGGAAGCTGCAAGAGCAGTCACGCACCATTTCCTAGCTGCACAGGTACATTGTTTCAGGCACCCGGAGCAGCCAGTGGAAAGGTAAATCACCACAGCCAGTGGCTCCTACCCTGAGCCGGGATCAGCTGCTAATTCTGGCTGGGCTGAAGGGAGAGGATGGGACTTCCTCCCCTGCAACGAGTGGCTGGGGCTGTGTCAGAACCACCCCCAGAAACCTCCCACAGCTGCAGGAAGCTCAGCATCCTCCCCTGCTTCCTGAACCCATCACTCCTCAACTGCAGGGGAAGAGGTCACTGTATAGGGAGTTGCTCCCTCATCCACCCAACTCCCATGCATCTGGATCTCCCATAGCCAGATGCCCCCCACCAAGCCTCACCCCATACACTCACGAACCCCCCCCCCCCAAGAACCTCCATATCTGAACCCCACCCCACAGAACCTCAACCCCTACATCTGAAGCCTCCCTGCACCCAGACCCCCTGCCTCTGGATGCCCACTCCTGCACCCAGACCACCCCCACTGAGCTCCCTGCACTCAAACCCCCACCCTGCCAAGCCCCACCCCACTGCACCACTCTGAGCTCCAACATCCAGACCTCCACACCACTGACCCCCAACTAGCTGCACCCAGACCTCCACCCCACCAAGCCCCACTCCCCCAGCACCCAGACCCCCCCCCCCCGAGACTCCCTCCACACACAGACCCCTCCGCTGAGCCCCAACCACCTTCACCTGAAAGCCCCTGCAGAGTCCCATTGCCTCTGCAACTGGAACCCACCCCCAACAAGCCTCTGTGCATCCAGATCCCCACACACCTATACCCCCCCGCACTGAGCTGCCTGCACCCAGATTGTCCCACACAGAATCCTCTCACCCCACACCTGGATCCCCCCATACTGAGCCCCTCCACACTTGGATCCTGCCTACCCTACACCTGGTACAGATGGGCAAAGCTCCAGGGTTTTTCGGGGGCAGGCCCAGGCCTTGTGCTGTGTCAGGGTCAGGTGCAGCCTCACCACTAGAGTTAGTGTCCCAAGGGTGGGGGGGGGGTTAGGGAGGCTGCAGGGTGATTTTGTGGAGCTAGTGGCCTGTGCTCCCCACTGCCATGCTGGAGCCTCTGCATTTATTTATTGACCAATAAAACTTGTAGAATTTATAATTTTTTTGGCACAATTTTTAATTTTTTTGGAGCAGAATGTCCTCAGAAGTATCTATCTTAGAGATCAACCAACTCCTAGGGAACTGAAGTGTGGTTTAGAGGAAATGTGGGTGTTCTTGAAGTAAAAGATCAGAACTAAAGATTCAACACTGGAAGGGAAATATTAGCTAGGCTACCTATCAACAGGAAATAAGTCTGAGCTTTGCTAACTGTATCACTCAGTAGGAGATAGGCTCCTTAGTTCTGAAATTCCTGCAGCTTGTTCTGGAGAAACTTGTTATCAAGACTCCAAGGGAAGATTCTCTTTAAAAAAAAAAAAAAAAAAAAAAAAATTAAGCCTGTATACTGAGGCCTGGTCTACACTACGGGTTTAGGTCGACTTTAGCAGCGTTAAATCGAATTAAGCCTGGTGTTTGCTGGCATGCAGACAACATCCATTCCTTATATGTTTGTTATCCTCAGGAGAGTGATATCATTCACCTGGTTGAAATGGGGTGATATTCACCTGGTTGAAATGGGGTGATATTCACCTGGTTGAAATGGGGTGATATTCACCTGGTTGAAATGGGGTGATATTATTAAGGGGACATTCAGAGGTGCCCGTTCCTGCTCTTCTGAACAGAAATGTTCCCCGCTGTTAACCACGCGGTGGGGGGAGGGGTGAAGTGATCATCCCAGAGAATCAGGTGTGTGGGGGGTGTGTGGTTTACTTGGGTTTGTGCTGCATGTTAACCCAGAAACCGCAGCCCCTCCTTTTACATTGAAAACCCATTTTAAATGGCCAACCCAATTCATCCTTGATATGGGAAATGAGGGCGCTGCTGTTTGAAACCATTCCCACATATTAAGAAGGTTAAAAAAGCCAAAACACTGTAGCTTACCATGGCTGCCTGCAAGCCGAAATCGGTTGCCTGGCACTGCGTGAGTGATCTCTCATACCAAACCAGCAGGCAGAGGAAAAATGCGACCTTGTAACGAAAGAGTGTACCCATTGTTCTCTAAAATGTGGCTTTTTTTAACCACCTCTCCCTTCTCCTCCACCAGCTGCAAATGTTTCTCCTTCGCAGAGGCTAGTGAACATTAGAAAGAGAAAATGGAGGACGCGGGACGATATGTTTACGGAGCTCCAGATGTCCTCCCACGCTGATAGAGCACTCCCCAGAAACCTCAAAGCCCTCCTC